TGTGATGCTGGGGGATTGAACCGTGGTCCCTGTGCTTTGCTAAGCTTGTTCTAAGTAGGTGCTTTAGACCACTGAGCCATCTCACCAGCCCCTGTATTGTATATTTTGAATCTTGTTTACACTATCAGTTTCTTACACTAGGGAAGCAATACATTGTTTAGATATGTGAGTCTGATTTATTTCTCTGCTAAGTATGGTCTCTAGTTGAATCCATTTACCTATGATAACCTCAAATTTGTTCTTCTTGATAGCTAAGTAATACTCCATTGTATAAAAATACCACATCTTCTTTATCAGTTCCTCATTTGATGGACATTTGGGTTGTTTCCAAGATTTAGCTATTACAAATTGTGCTGCTATAAACACAGTGTGCTGGGGGCCGGGGAAATGGTTCAGTGGAATAAACACTTCCCTGCCAACTGCAAGGATCTGAGTTCAATCCCCAGTGCTGCAAAAAAAAAAAAAAAAAAAATGCTTTGCTTGTGGGTTATGCTTGTATTTTAATGAGACCGTCAGTGCTTTTCTATGTGTTGGAAAATTCAAGTTACCTGTACCAGAGGTGTCAGATTTGCAAGTGATAGAATGGTTTTTTCCTCACCTGTTTTACCAAGCATCTTACTTTATTGTTTTGCAGATAATGAGCTTCAGTCCCCAAGATCTGCGAAGACGTTTGTGGGTGATTTTTCCAGGAGAAGAAGGTTTAGATTATGGAGGTGTAGCAAGGTAGTGATAATATGAATACTCAGAACTTAGTTCCTTTCCTCCAAAGGTATCATTGCACTTTGCTTGCAAGTATTTTTTCAATCTCATATTTCAGAAAAATGAAATATAGCAAATTATTGTAGCTTATTTATGAGGCAGGTAAAGAATTTTAACAAACATTATTTCAGTACTTTTTTCTGAGGTACTGTTAGTTGCTGTTACCCACATTATTCATTTAATTCTCAACAATCCTGCAAGGTAGAAGTTTATAAGGGGATGAAGAGGTTTAGATTCTTTTAAGGTAGAATAACTTGTAGAGCTTGGATACAAGTTTCTGTCATCTACTTAGTAGTCATTGTTCAGTCTACCACTTCATATATGTTGCATAGAGCACAAAGGGGCTTATGATAAGGTGTCTTTCATCTGTATAGCATACTGATACAAGTAATGGTGACTCCATTTCCAACTAAGATTAATAATTTTCCTCAGAACATAGAAGCCTATATCAAATAGGATTTTAAAATGTTAATTCTGGGGGCCAGGGACATGGCTCAGTGGAATAAGCACTTCCCTGGCAAGCGCTAAGGGCCTGAGTTCAATCCCTGGTTCCACAAAAAAAAAAAAAAGTTAATTCTGCTTTGTTTGTATTTGAGCTTCTTAACTCAAGCTTTAGAAGATAGCCTCAGTCAGGAAATTGCTCATTCAATAATAATGTACTTTATACCAATTAAAAGTCACATAACAGGGGCTGGTGAGATGGCTCAGTGGTCTAAAGCACCTACTTAGAACAAGCTTAGCAAAGCACAGGGACTGCGGTTCAATCCCCCAGCACCACATGCCAGCCAGCCCCGCCCCCTGGTGGGCTGAGCTGGCCACATACACATAAATAAAGAAAGAAAATTTAAAATAAAACCAAAGGTGTCATTGTACTTTGCGAGTATTATTTTCTCAGTCATATGTTGAGCAACTAGCAATATTAAAACAACTAAAAATACAAAAGTATAGGAAGCATTATCTTCAGGGGACATGAAGTAAAAGGAAGGCAGGTATAGGATACCAAGCAGATACTGCAATTGTTGCCTCATATATGTGTTTTACCGAAATCTACCCCATTACATAATTAATAATCATAATCTTATGTTAAAATGGGTTAGTGGGGGCCAGGGAGATGGCTCAGTGGAATAAGTGCTTCCCTGGCAAGCATAAGGGTCTGAGTTCAATCCCTGGTTCCACCAAAAAAATAAAAAAATAAAAATAAAATAAAATAAAATGGGTTAGTACTTTTGAACACTTGAATTAAAGTTTCTCAGTATATTTTTCTAATATTTCAGCAGCTGAAATTAATTGCTTGCTGTACTATCTCTGAAGTTGGAAGGTTTTTCATATTCATCTAAGATACAGGGACAGTACACTTTGCAGATCATTGTGGAACTTAGTAATAGGTGAAATATTTGATGCATTTTAGCATTCATATTCTCTCTCTCTCTCTCTCTCTCTCTCTCTCTCTCTCTCTCTCTCTCTCAGCACTGGGGATTGAACTTGGGACCTTGTGCTTGCCAGGCAGGCACTTAAACTGCTGAGCTATGTCCCTGGCCCACATTTTAGCTGTCCAATAACCTGAGTTAATAGTGAATTTTAAACTGCCTATTGATACTGTTCATCAATTCTAAGACTTACATTTTGTATTTTGATGCCTCTAAAATTGTGATATGTTGGTAAAAGTTGAAAAAATTTAATGTTTCATTAAAATTGTCTTTAAAGTCAGTCATGGCTTAAAATCTTTGAAATAAGCAATATATAAAACATCTGTAAAACAGATGTTTTTGAACAAAAGTAAGAAAAGCCCAGTTATAAAAGTATTATCAGCTGAGGCATACAGTTTCCAGAGAACTTTGTAGCATGGCTCTTTGATTTGTTGTCATGGTGACTTAGAAAATTTTTCATCTTAAGTTTTCTTTTAATTTCAGAGAATGGTTCTTTCTTTTGTCACATGAAGTGTTGAATCCAATGTATTGCCTGTTTGAATATGCAGGGAAGGATAACTACTGTTTACAGATAAACCCAGCTTCTTACATCAATCCAGATCACCTGAAATATTTTCGTTTTATTGGAAGGTTTATTGCCATGGTAAGTGTAAAGAACTTCACATTTACTTTGTTAGTTAAACAATACTAATTTTTCTAACATGTGCTGTGACAGATGATATGACAGGAGAAAACTCTCCTCTCATGGCTTAGAGTCTCCTGTCAGGCTTAGAAGAATTAGCCTTACATTTTGACATGCAATGAGTTTTATACAGTTATCTAAAAAGGTTTTTTTCTTCCTCTTTTTATATAGGCTCTGTTCCATGGGAAATTTATAGACACGGGTTTTTCTTTACCATTCTACAAACGTATCCTGAACAAACCAGTTGGACTTAAGGATTTAGAATCTATTGATCCAGAATTTTACAATTCTCTCATCTGGGTTAAGTAAGTTTTTCTTTACATTTAATTTATTAAAATATAATCTATATGGCTTTGTTATGGTATTAGTAACTTAAATAAACTATGGCCTGTAATGGGTATATGGAATTTAGTGGTTTATGTATGTATCAAGCTATTTAATTGTTTAGTATGATAAGTTTTAGAAGAGTACATACATGACCAGTGATGGTTAACCTTTTACAGACTGAGGGCCCAAACTGCAACCCAGAACCCACTTACTTATCATAAAGTGCCAACATTATAATTAAATCTGAATGCTGAGGTTTTAGTGTAGGAAAAAACCTGCTATCTGGTGCTGGGACAACCTGGCTGAAGTGCTGACAGAGGCTCTCTGTGCCTGCTGTAATGTGTGTGCCATAGGTTCATCACCACTCTCCAAAGGGTAAGTTAATATGGTGGTGACTTTAGAGCATAATCTTTTTTTTTTTTTTTTTTTTTTTTTCATTAAAGCTGTTATTTAAGACCAGAGATCTTCAGTTAAACTTTTGAATTAAAATTGGAGTGGTGGCTATAACAAGTAGTACTATTTTCATTTATACAGAGAAAATAACATTGAGGAATGTGGTTTGGAAATGTACTTCTCCGTCGATAAAGAAATTCTAGGTGAAATTAAGAGTCATGATTTAAAACCCAATGGTGGCAATATTCTTGTAACAGAAGAAAACAAAGAGGAATATATCAGGTGAGAAAGTGTTGCATTGACATAGTTTAGCCTTTCTGTTGGTAATTGTCTAATAGTAGTAATGTACCATCTTTCAAAAGATAATATTGCCTTTGTGATAAGCATTATTCTGAACAGGCAGTTATTTCTCATTTCTAGTGTAAGCCCTAAAATGGAAGCTTTTAAAGAGTAGAATTAATGTTGGCTCACTCTGTGCCTATAATGTGCCATTGAAAAGCATCTCAGATTTACATACAAGTATTTTTATGGGGAATATTGTAAGATGAGGCAAAATTTGTAAGTAAAACACTGGCTTATGGTATAGCCTCTCTAATGCTTTGCATTGGTCCATACTAATAGCCTTATTAGTTCATTCATATCTTCTCAATACCAGTTATGTCCAGTGAAGGTTAAACTTAGCCTGTCTGCTACTATTTTTCTTGATGTTTTTGGGAGTTTTGTTTTGTTTTGTCTTGTGGTACTAGGGATTGAGCCTTGTGTGTATCAGGCAAGTGCTATACCACTCAGCTACATCCCAGTCCTTTTTAATTTTATTTTGAGACAAGGTCTTGGATAAGTTGCCCACGTTGGTCTTGAACTTCTGATCCAACTCAGTATCCTGAATAGCTGAGATTACAGGTGTAAATCTCTGCATCTGACTCTGCTTCTTTTTACTGGGCATCAAACTCAGGACCTTGTGCTTTCCAGGCAGTTGCTTATGCCACTGACCTGTATCTCCAGCCCCTCTGTTTCTTCTTAAGTTCCAGTTTATGTGCCTTAGCCAGATTTTTGTTTCATAATTAAAATTACGGTTTTAACTATTAATATAAGTGTTGGTAAATCTGTCCTTTTTTAAAATTTTTCCTCCATAATTTTATTGATTCTATCTTTATAAATATAGCTCATTTATTTATTTATTTTTGGCGGAACCTGAGATTGAACCTTGTGCTTGCCAGGGAAGCGCTTACTCTACTGAGCCATCTCCCCAGCCCCAATATAACTCATTTAAAATATCTTTTAAAACTTATTACTTTATTCTTCCTTCCTTTCTCTCTCTCCCTCCCTTTTTTTCCCTCCCTCCCTGTTTCTGTCCCCATCTCTATTCCTCCCCACTTTGTCTCTCCTCCTGTCTCTTCCCTTTCCTTACTGTCTGCCTGCCCACTCCTCCCTCCCCTCTCCCTCTCTCCCTCTTCCTCTCCCTATCTCCCTCTCCCTATCTCTCCCTCTCCCTGTCTCTCTGTCTCTGTTTCTGTCTCTGTCTCTGTCTCACTACTTCATTCAGCCTGGCTGCAATAATGGTCATCCTCCTGTCTCAGTCTCTTAAATGCTGAGATTACAGGCCTGTGCCATCAAACCTGTCTTGTCATTCCATTGTTTCACCTCCATTGTTCTTCATGCTATTAGACATTTTTTTAATTGTCTTTTCTGAATTAAATGTATGGATTTCAAAAGATTTAAACTTTGTTTTTTGATTTAACTGGTTGTGGTCAATTTAAATTTATCTGCTCAATTTATATTTATATGTTCGTGTGGTTGATGCCATTTCTTTTTTTTTTTTAATTTTATTTGTGTGTGTGTGTGTGTGTGTGTGTGTGTGTGTGTATGTGTGTGTGTGTCCAGCTCAGCCCACCAGGGGCTGGGGCTGGCTGGCATGTGGTGCTGGGGATTGAACCGCGGTCCCTGTGCTTTGCTGAGCTTGTTCTAAGTAGGTGCTTTAGACCACTGAGCCATCTCACCAGCCCCATGATGCCATTTCTTAAACTAAGAAAATTTTGCATGTTTTCTATGTTTCATTCCCCTTACATGCTACTTTAAAGCCTTAAGTTACTTATTTATTTAGAAATAACACACACACAAAAAAAAAAAAAAAAGAAAGAAAGAAAATGGAAGAGAAAAATAGGGGCCAGAGAGATGGCTCAGTAGAATAAGTGCTTCCCTGGCAAGTGCAAAGGCCTGAGTTCAATCCTTGGTTCCTCAAAAAAAAAAAAAAAAAAAAAGAAAGAAAGAAAAGAAATAACACATTTTCTTTTTCTTTTTCTTTTTTCTTTTTTTTGCTCCAAATGCCTTCAGGGCAGATTTGTCTGGCTTGAGTTGTGGGGATCAAACCACAGCAACCTGAGCCTGATTGCTTTGTTGAATCAGCCACTTAAAGAACTGAGCTAAGGGGCAGGCCCCCTTCTTTTTCTTTTTTACTTAAGTTTATTGGTAGAGCTTAGGTGTACATAATGATCATATTCATCATAGGGAATTTATACTTGTATATGACATATCTTGATTCTTTTTACAATTCCTTTCCCTTCAACCCTTTTCCCCCACTCTATTTACAAATGTTTTGTTTCCATTTTTTCCTTTATTTTTCTTTCCTTCCTTTCCCTTCCTCCTTCTGTAGTTTCCCTTCCTATTTGAACATTTTCTTCCTACTTCACAATACATTTTGGGTTTCTTTTTCTTTTTTTTTTTTTTTTT